TTTTGTGAAATTCTTTGTTTTCTTATAAAAATCTGCAGCAAAGAAACAAGATTTGAACCTAAAAATTTGCGTACGTTTCTTGCAGATACAGAGTGCCGGCGGGCAAAATAATTTCGGAAATTAGGCAAGAACGATCTCCAGTTACGGATGAAATAATTTTGTGCAAGACGTCCGTGGCACAGAAAAGTTTGTACGGATAGCCAAAATGTGCGGGAACGAAAGCATATTTCAGCGAAAAATCAGTTTTCAAGAAGAATCATATATTTGCGGCGGAAATCTCAGTTACACTGGGGGGATAAATTATAAGAAAGGCATTGTTGGAGAAAACGTTTAACTTTAACTGAGAAAACCGTTAGACGTAGATGCTATCTTGCTGGTCCATCAATCACATAACCTACTTCATGGGGAAAAAATGTCATTGCAGGTTAATCTGGCGGTTCCTAATGAGTTTGACACGACAGAGTATACTTGCATTAACCATGTTTTAACCTTTTGAATGTGCGCAGCATTTCGTTTTCCACATTTTCAAGTATCAAGCATTCTTATATCGTTATTAAGGACGACAGAATTGACGACAGGATGATAGCTGTACTGTGCGACGATGGCAATTTACTTCTAACGACAAATGGCTCTGAAGTTGGTTTGTTACAATGGAACCGGCGAAACACCTAAACGATCCAGGAAATGGAATTTGATCACAGGCCAACACTATGATGCCTCAGAATAAAATATAAGTCTAGGATCACGTCGAACGACAGTTTATCACAGATAAGCGACAAAATGGGCCTTGCTCACATTTTATGAGACTTCATTTGGGTTTCATTGTTTCTAGTTGGATATTTACGGGATCCTATATATTCGAGCAGCTAGTTGTGGATGCAAATCGCCATCGTAATTTCTTTGAATTTCATTCGCACCTTTCGAATTCTGAATTATGGAAACCCAGTTTTGCTGTCGCTATCAGTGACCAAGCATTTGCTGCATAGTACCAGAAAACAATGGAAATTACTGAGTCTGAATGATCCATCAGGTTGACTACTAATAAATAGTTTCCTATAATAATGCCACTCTCATTTGTACAGAATAATACATAGTGGTCACAATTTTTGGGGTTTCGTGGGATAGATATTTTATTCATAGTCACACCACGTCCATTTGTACGGTCGTGCTTGCACTGGCGTATTACTTTCGGTGAGTCAACACCAAAGGGAAGCACTGGACTCGAGTTTCACTCTTCTTAGAGCTCATCAGTAGTTCATATCCAATGGTGGTGCTGAGATTTGAACCCCACGCGGGGCAAACGTGTAACCACTACTTCAGAGCGCACGTTGGACGTATCTGAATTTTCGCGTTTGAACAGGCAACCGTGTTCACACCTGAGCGATGTGATTCGTGTGCCCGATCCATCGAACGACGACCCAGTAACTGTCCTGGTTGTGGCGATCGATTGACCCGCCTGTCGGACGTACCGGTCACATAATTATTAGTATTATTAACTCATTTTGCTCACAGGAATAAAGATAAAACTTGAGTCACTTGGCTCCGTGCCTAACCATAGGACAATAAGAAACATTTCAAGCTTTGTTTTCTAGTTCTTGTACAAATTCACAAAACCAATTAAACCTATCCAACCTAATCATTATGTGACCTATGGAATCACATGCCAGAATTCTTCCAAGAAAATGCTAATTCTTGCCAACATCATTGTACGTAACCGATCTGTCACGAACTTGAGCTGATTTGAATTCGGAACTTATTCTTCACCAGTAAGATGTCATTCATAGCGACTCTATGCGATAACATGTGATTTATTTGTTCTTGTTCAATTTGTAGCTCATATGACTTCAAAAATTCCTACAGTCCAATTTTCATGCCTCTATGATCTCATATTTTAAATAAAATCATAAAATCGTGTTGTATATTAGGAGCACCATAAATGATGCAAGCTCTAAAGGTCGACTACATGTTACACTCTACACTGAGAAACTCGTGTGGGATAACCGCCCGACCCGGATGAGTTTTGTCATTCATGCGTTCCGCTTATTGATCCTCATACTTTGTTCAACAAAATATGGGTTCCTAATTTTATATAAACTGAAGACAAATTAGATGAGCGCAAAACAGTCATTCCACAACCGATTTGGTTTTGAAGAGACTCAGTGACACCTGGCTGAAACGTATAAACGCAATACACCTCTCATGACGTTCTGAAAACACATTGACAGCCCACAACCGGTTTTTCTTACTTTGAGACTCATCAGGTAGGCGCAGTTCCAGAGTATCCGTCAAGTCATTCATGCTAAGACTTTAAGAAAACCGACCTAAATTTTTAAAAAAGTCTGTGACGGTTCTCGTTTATGCAGCCTGTGGTTTCCTTTCACTCCATACTTTGACCATTAGATATAGCACATCTACACAAAAAATAGGCCTATGCATAATTCTTGAGATGCCGGTAAGAGACCAAATCCGTATACAATCTAGCAGCATGGCAGTATTCTATTGCGGAAACATGCTGGAGTAAGTAAACCACGCCTTTATAAACGGAGAGGTTTGTTCCAAAATAGATGACCCTATTTTATTTGTCTGTTTGTTTGATTTATACAACTTAAGGCATTCCAAATTCACGTGGTACCGCACCAGCTTGTGGGAAGCATTATCAGGTGAACAAACCATTGGAATACTGGTTAACTTGAAAAGTATCTTGCTGAAAATCGCCCGTTTAAAACTGAAATTCGTAAGCAATCTTAAAAAAACCGACTCCGCAAACTGACAGCCCAAAGTGGGCAATAGAACTGATTCCGATAGGTTACCGCAATCCATGAATTACCAAAATCGTCCCACACTGTTGACAATGCTGGGATAGGCCGCACGACTTAGCAAGAAATTTGGCCAACAAGAAGCCACTTGGGGCACTTGGTTTATTATCTAACCACATGGTCATCCTGTGATTGATTATTTTCTTTTATTTTTGAAATGTACAACTCGACTCCCACTTTTTATTATTTCGGCTTTTAGCCTATAACAACTTTCTTGTTTTTGCCCTGAAAATAAACCGCACTCCGGCGATGTCATCGCAAGTGTTGTTTAAGTCGACACGTGTTTTTTTCTATACTGTAAACACGTGGCTTTGAGACGATGTGGACTTTGAGATCCGTTAGAAATTAACAGTTCCTGAACCGGTGTGTAGAAACCGACGTAGTCCCACGAGTTGAGGTTTGTACAGTTTATATTATTTTATTATTGTATTTATTGTACCGCATTTGTAGACAAACCTCCAGTTGAAGTAATTTGGCTTTTGGGATTTAGCGCGTAATTCGACGTGGTCCAACATATTTCTGAAAACAATCTAAAGTGACATGATTTGTTAAATGTGGATACAAACCGGTAAATGGCCGTGACACCAACGCTACGTAGCACCTTCCATACAGCCGTACAGTGCAGTTCGACTTTTCAGCTTAGACAAGTTTCATTAGAGGAATAAAATATATTTTGAATGTAACCAGATCGTCACCATCCACCGGCATGAATATAGGAAATCTGCAAGGCGCCCTGTAATTCGAACTTACAAGCCCAAGTTTACATCTGCACACACTGACCAAATTTTCAGTGGTTTGGAAGTGGAATTTTTTTCTTCTATCTGAATACATCGGGTCCGATAAAAATCAGCGGCTATCTTCGACTGGACTTCTTAAAATTCCCGTGAAACCTACGTCTGTTATTCTTTCGACAATTGCTATCAGACCTAAATAGGACGGTGTCTTCGTATAAAATGCTAAAAGCCAAGTAATTTAAGTCCATTACTTTCGTCGTGGCAAATTGAGTGTTTGACTTTTCTCGACCAAATGCGACTTTAATAAGCCGCGAGCTTTTTATTTTCTATGTCTTTTCCAAGGATATTTTTTGCATCCCTTTACGACAGATAATTGATGCTTTCTAAACCAAATGAAATTGGCAAGTCTCCTATCGCTCGTTTGGCAGCACTTGCTGCAGTTAGTTACTTTGAAGAAAATGGAAAATATTTTGCCGACCGTTATACACAACCTACAATGATAGTATAACACATCCACATCGTCTTGTTTGTAAACTACAGAGGATATTTGCGGTGAACTAAACAGGGGAATCGGAACCAAGGCCAGCGTGATCAAAGCGTTTATTTTCTGGATTAGCTCTCAAGTTTTAAAACATACATGAAGCAGTGTAACCACTGGTAACCTCAGAATGGTATTCCAGACCTTGTATAGTAAGGTGTAAGCCGACCATCTGGGCTACCTATATCAACGTCCAGAACAAATTGTTTGGCTACACAAACTAGGCTGTCGCACAAAAAATCTGGTGGCGGGTAACCTGTTTCCCTTGAGTAAGTATTGATTTCTTTTGGTTGGAACCAAACACTTTGCGATCAGCCACCTTAGGAATCCAACAAACAGAACTATTATGGCTGGAAATGTAGTTATTTGTTGACTCATGCAGTTTCTCCTAATGGCAGACGTGTTGCACCTACACTTTTGCTAGACAAAAAGCCCCTAATATAATAATGGATCAAGAACAAGCCCAATATTCTTGCTAGAACAAATGTTTCAAAAAAACTATTTCACCTCACTTGGAAGACAAATTACACGAGTGTGTACGAGCTCGACCTTCCAGCTTCAGTCCGCTGAACCAAACGTTACACAGCCTATCTGATCGTTGCCTTTTAGTCCGGAAAACTTCCGAGACAGTCAAAAGCAAAATGGAAATATAATGCGAACTCTACAAGCGAAATATGCGTCAATACACTAAAATCAAATTTCACTCTAGGTGCCCCTCACAAGAACTTGCACTGAAACGAACCAGGTTTTATTAGAAAAACACGTGCATAATTTGAGAGCTGCGCTCGGATTTGCATTGTGCTTGGTAGTTTTCGCAAATCACCTAACAAATACAAGACAATTATTAAGACTGATAAGGCAAATATATTACCACAACAATTGTTCGCAAAGGCACGTACAATCCAGAGTACTTCAGCATTTTACTGCAGCAAACCCCATTTGGTTGCTTTGTTGGTCAAACATCAAGTAAAAATGTCGCAAAATGGACACCCCGAGTGTCCAGGTCGTCTCAGCGGCTTTTGCTTCCATTTGAATTGCAAAATGGTGAAATCCAACACTCTAAACCAGAAAAATATAAACAAAATTAGACTTAGATGCTAGCATTCCCCGACAACCATCGACACGCAGATAACCACTTACGAATCTTGTAAGTTCTTTCGGTAGCAGCGTGAACACTCGAGAGCCCAGTTTTATTTTCAGTGGATGAAGATGATGCAGATTATGTGGCAGAACATGGAACATCCCATCGTCATGTTTTTCTACAACTGAGTTTTGTAAAAGTTTGTTCGACGACTCGGCTGGTGCAAACGTATCCGGAGATCCAGTATCCACATGTACGCGGCACAGCCTGCAAAGCACCACATCACCATACTCTATGCTGAAGTGGAGAAAAAATTTCAGGAAATATGCCAACTTATCTGTAGGCGCAAATAGCATTTTAACAACACGTTTGAGGTTAGACTCAGAAAGGTCAGGGTTCACTTGCCATCTAAAATAGTAATCTCCGACTATATCGGATGGCCTCAAATCCCAGCCTAACATGACGTCATATGTTTCAAAATATATGCGTACATAAATATGCAAACCATAAACACAATATGCGTTCCTGAGTGAAAAAATGAAAAAAGATAACAAAACATAATTAGGGGAGTGTTAACTAAATTGCCTTTGTCGCCAGCGGCTATCTCGGAGGCATTTGTGTTTATAAAAACACCTTGATAAACTCTGCTGTTCAACATAAAAAAGCAAGCTCATTGTAGTGGCGTAGTAAATATTAATGCAAATGCTGCATCTTTCAAAATTCAGAATAACGGAATTTCGTAAACAAATATCTAGCGAGAGGAGTCCTCTTTTAAAGTCTTGATAAATTTATGAAAACCATAAAATCTCTGCAGGGCTTTTCTAATAAATTACTCCTAATAATTGGAAAAAACATGGATGGTGCGAACCGTCCTGGAACATATGAAGTTTACAAATCTGAGAATGGTTTTCGCTGGAGGTTTGAACTAATCATGCTAACTGTTAAGAGTAAACTAAACAAATGAGCATTTTTTCCTTCGCAATTCATCAGAGCTACTTCATTGATGCTGTTTGTTGTTTAGAGACAGTTTTAAGCTGGGCACCTCTATAATACCGTACCTACATGTGACATTTTGTAAAATGCCATAACACAGATTTCAGTTGCCTCTCGGTTACATACACTAAAATCATCTCCAGACTTTTCAAGCCTCAGGCATACAACAGTTTGTTTCTTTCTTTCCCTCCCGAAGTCTCCACTCTGTCTCCTTACAACTCAGTTATTCATCTTGAAAATTTGTTGAGATAAAGAATAGTTCAATTAACTTATCTGCCTAANAGATGCTAGCATTCCCCGACAACCATCGACACGCAGATAACCACTTACGAATCTTGTAAGTTCTTTCGGTAGCAGCGTGAACACTCGAGAGCCCAGTTTTATTTTCAGTGGATGAAGATGATGCAGATTATGTGGCAGAACATGGAACATCCCATCGTCATGTTTTTCTACAACTGAGTTTTGTAAAAGTTTGTTCGACGACTCGGCTGGTGCAAACGTATCCGGAGATCCAGTATCCACATGTACGCGGCACAGCCTGCAAAGCACCACATCACCATACTCTATGCTGAAGTGGAGAAAAAATTTCAGGAAATATGCCAACTTATCTGTAGGCGCAAATAGCATTTTAACAACACGTTTGAGGTTAGACTCAGAAAGGTCAGGGTTCACTTGCCATCTAAAATAGTAATCTCCGACTATATCGGATGGCCTCAAATCCCAGCCTAACATGACGTCATATGTTTCAAAATATATGCGTACATAAATATGCAAACCATAAACACAATATGCGTTCGTGAGTGAAAAAATGAAAAAAGATAACAAAACATAATTAGGGGAGTGTTAACTAAATTGCCTTTGTCGCCAGCGGCTATCTCGGAGGCATTTGTGTTTATAAAAACACCTTGATAAACTCTGCTGTTCAACATAAAAAAGCAAGCTCATTGTAGTGGCGTAGTAAATATTAATGCAAATGCTGCATCTTTCAAAATTCAGAATAACGGAATTTCGTAAACAAATATCTAGCGAGAGGAGTCCTCTTTTAAAGTCTTGATAAATTTATGAAAACCATAAAATCTCTGCAGGGCTTTTCTAATAAATTACTCCTAATAATTGGAAAAAACATGGATGGTGCGAACCGTCCTGGAACATATGAAGTTTACAAATCTGAGAATGGTTTTCGCTGGAGGTTTGAACTAATCATGCTAACTGTTAAGAGTAAACTAAACAAATGAGCATTTTTTCCTTCGCAATTCATCAGAGCTACTTCATTGATGCTGTTTGTTGTTTAGAGACAGTTTTAAGCTGGGCACCTCTATAATACCGTACCTACATGTGACATTTTGTAAAATGCCATAACACAGATTTCAGTTGCCTCTCGGTTACATACACTAAAATCATCTCCAGACTTTTCAAGCCTCAGGCATGCAACAGTTTGTTTCTTTCTTTCCCTCCCGAAGTCTCCACTCTGTCTCCTTACAACTCAGTTATTCATCTTGAAAATTTGTTGAGATAAAGAATAGTTCAATTAACTTATCTGCCTAAATGAACACTTAAGTTGAGTTTGAACCTCTTCCGAAAAAATCTGTTGCAACTCCAAAAAGCAGCAAGTAGAACGTTGTCCTTTGTAAAATTTGGCGCCGGTTTGAAAGAAACGCCTTTATATTGATGATTTCATTGCCAAGAAAATCACACCTAGCTGCGTTCTTTGATGCAAAAAACAAATTAGCATTTTTATCAAGTTATAAATTGTTGCGTGCCATCTGGTCTATAAATTAGATATATTTGACGTTTATTTCAAGTTGGGGAACTATGTGCGTTTTCATCACTGGGCTAGAAAAATGTTATTCACCCAAAATGGGGGGTTATTTAAAAAGCAATGCGCAAAGTCCCCACAAGGGACACTGCCGCGCCCCAAAAAATAAACTTCAAAGTATTGGAATATTTGGCACCATTCCCGTTGTGTGTTGGTTAATCCTCTGTTTTATCTCTAGGCAAACGTCTTAATTACTTGTGCTAAGATCAGTCATTTTAGTAGCACGTTTAGGGGTTGGTTATTCTGTACCTCGTCGTGTTTAAAAAACCCTGTGGTTTGGTTTGTTAGATTCCATTCAGGACTGTACTTGAGCAACATCACAAAACACTTTATATCCGACTAGGTTACTTAAAGTTTACTGAAACTAGTAATCCTTTTTAAATAACCACCTATTTCGTCTAATTTTATTTAAATCGACGCTGCATCAAGGCTCAAAACTCGCATGGAAGGAAGAAGCTTGCTTGACTCGCCATTGTTGTCAGAATGTTACTGTCCCGCATTTGAAGCAACGTCTTTTTACTCAACCAGTGCGTTTACCGATCGACTCCTGAAAAGCAGCCGACTCGATTAACCTTCGGCGATATCAGAAAAGCGCACCATATAACAAAACACCCGGAAACTGTGAGCCTGTCACTGAGCCTGTCAATGATATTTTAGCAAATCGCAACTAGAAGTCAGTTGGTAAATGGAAATTGAATAAATGGATAGAAATTAACTGTAAGTCAGAAACATTTCGGTTGGACTACGTAGATATAAAGCTTCACCAAACAGAAAACTAACATTCTGCAAAAACAAGCGGGATCAAAATTTCAACTACGTCAACCAGGAACGCAAAGAAACATTGGAAACACGGCAGTCTTTTACTTTCCGAATGCGGAAAAACAGACGAAATGAGAGGATCGATTGACTAATGAGGCGGAATGAACCACAAATTACAAAAGAGTAGCAAAAGCCTGGAGAAATAATAATAGACGAAGTCAGATAAATCCGGAATCATATAAATAATTGTTCATTGGGCGAACAGACTGGAGCAACAATTGATAGAACGAATAAGGAGATACAAAAAGCTTAATCGTTTAATAAGACAACTAATTGACCACGGAACCGTATGTGCAAGATGAGAAAAATTCAGTGGGCCAAAACAACCAAGACACTTAGCTAGCACCGCAATGCGGACAAAAACCTGCAAATTCCAGCTTCTGTATCAACGGACGTTAGAGATGATGACCCGCCTATCAAGCCACTTACTGGCGATATTCCCTGTATAGTTAGAAACCTTCGGAAACTAGGCTCTAAAGTAAAGTAAAAGATCCTACCCAGAAAAACAACTTTGTGCAACTTCGCACGCTTGAAAACCTGTGTTACGCTAATCTGCTCATTGTGACCGATGACGCCTTTGCGAATATAATGGATAACTTACAACATTCTTCTCAATGCTTATCCAACATTTTTTTGTTTTACGTCAATAAATATCAAAATTATCCCGCAAACATAAATTTTAGGTTGTTGCTATCTTCTAATGGCAAACTAGTGCATAGTGAAGTGAAAAGACCAACCTTTTCAGCTTCTTGGATTAAATAATGTAAAATCCTTCGGAATGTGTGCCCAATTGCCCTCGGTGAGAGCAAATCAACACGCAAATGATTTTTTATTTCATGGAAATTTGTAAATAGTCTGGTTGTGGTCACAGCCCACACCGAATTTACTTTTAATCCAGAATGACACTTTAACACACTCCAAGTCATATCAATTTTATTTGGTAATAGGGACACTTTGGTCTCACTCATATATGAGTGCCAAGGAACTGGCTTAAATGTTCATTCTGCAGTACAGAAATTCCCAATTATTTGTGTTTCGCTGTGTGTCTCCCATTGAAAAAACTTCATGTGCTACCATTTGAAAAACAACCAGTATTCTTCCAGTCCTTGAGAGAACTATTCCCAAATAAATAGCTGGAAACATTTTGTGGCGCAAAACTATTAGTCTACCATTGCCACAATAAACTACTGCGTGGAACATTTTTTTGTTTTACGCCTGCATTTTCAAATTTATGAAATGAATTTGGCGAGTTCTTTGCTGCTATTGGGCCGATTACTGAGTAGGCCACCTGGGATTCTTCCGTTAAGCAAGAGATCTTGAAATAAAATGGTGGTGAAAAACCTTTTGTGTTTTGTGACACAATTTACAAATTGCAAAAAACGCAGTGAGTGCAGGTTCTCCAGAATAGTAAAACTCAGGTGAGAATAAACGACATGTAGGGCAACGGAACTGTACATGTCATGCAGTCTAATTTAGGATTTTGAATTGTCAGAAAGGTCACTTTCGATGGTATCAGGCGGAAGTTTTCCGACAAATTTTCACTGGTTTGTTAGACTGATTCTAAGCGCAGATGGAGTAGGAAGATTAGCAGTCAATTTGTTTGAAACTCGCTGCAGGTAGATCGGTAACTATAGAAGCGAATAGAATAAACGTTTTACCATGCCAAAGAAAAGGAGTGTGACCGCATCTATTGTCCCCTGCCCGAGGAAAAAAGGCAGTCAGGCAGTACTAGGAACTCCTGCACCATCCTTGTTCTTCACAGATAAATCTCAATTTAAAATCAGAAAAATGTGTACACCTCATTCAATAGGCCTGCACCTCTACAGTGGATCCTCATTTTAATTCAACAGTCTGTGACAATCTCTCAACACTCAAATAAATTGTACATAAAAGTAATTTGCCGTAGTGTCCAAGTGGCACACGCCTGAGAGAAATTGATTGAAGTGCGACCACCAGCTGATGATATCAGCGATCGTATCCGCTAACTATTTTTATGCGTAAAAAACTCTGGCCATTTTTTTCTAGCATACGGAATTTTCAGTTGTCAAACAATGGACCACACAACTTGACGTTAAATCACTTATGCAAACTGTACCAGGTGTTAATCTGCACAAAATAATTGGTTTGCATTTTCGTCGTGGTTCAAATCGCTTTTGGCAGAAATGTGGACATTTCAGCCGATAAAAAGCACTTTTTTCAAGTATGTGGGTGACCTTAATTTACAAAAATCGTCCAGTTAACATATCTCCGCCATAGAGTGTACTGACAATTACGAGTTTGAGTGCATATTCCCAGAAATTCAAGGTCCCCACTGGGTGCAAGAGTAACTGAGGAGATTCACATATATGGTGTGCAGAGTTGATTAAATCCCGAAAGCGAATACATGTCACTATGCCTTTGACTCACCTAGTGATGTCGACTACCCACTGAGTTCCTTGGTGTAGCGGCAAACTCACGATTGGCGGATAAAAATAATCGTTCCGGGTGCCTCCGAATTCCAGATTTCCGTGAACAAACCAAGAATCACCGCGCACGCCATGTTGACTTAAATCAGAGTGAATAAGAGTATATTTTAAAATAGCTTTCAAGCAGAATACCTACCGTCAAATTTACAATACCGACGAATTGCAGCCTGAAAGCTCCTGTTTTTTTGGAGTGGTTTTCTGTACATGCTAAAAATAAGTAATGACTGGGGATACTACGGAACAGGGTCTAACCTGAAAAGAAGCAAAAAGTGATTGCTGAAAGAAGGTTTACCATGTAAGACGTTTCTCCAGATATCGACTAATCCAGGCACATTTCATCAGCAGAAGCAGAACAACACCCCCACAAACAAGCTATTTCGAAACAAGATCCCACGGTTTGTCACCTTGCATACACGTAATGACCCTTTGGCACGTCCCGAACTTATAGTGATTGGAGCGAATCTCAGAAGGATGAAACGTCCAGGTAAAAATTGCTATCAATAACTATATGAATGTTGAGGAAGGAAATGAGTAGAACGCTTTTATATAATAGTTTTGCCTTCAGAAGTCTTGCTCTAAATAACTTCAACTCCTCGAATGATTTGTGCGCCTAAGTTATTTACCGGACACCGTGAGTTTTTGTCACCGTTTATCACAATCCCTCGTCCTTTGTGTGGATGCATAGAATAGCGTGTGAGTTTTGAAATCACTTAGGTGACTATCGATGGTCAGTACGAGCAAAAGCTGTAAACTGAGCGCACCTTGATATTACTGGTTTACTTAATACATTCTGAATGCAGAAAACGAAAAATGAAAAAAATGCAATAGACCAAGTGTTGAGCAAGCATTTAAACCCCGCACAACATTGGATCATTTCAGGTAGCTTAATTAAGTTGTCCTTTTATGGCATACTCTGCAATCACAGACAAGTTCAAATACCGTTACTACTAAAGTTTACTGTTGCTTGCTTTTCAACCGTACGCAAGTTACGATTTTTTTAAACAAAAGCATTTAGTACAGTACAAAAGCAAATGGGGTGTTACTATTAAGCTATGTTAATCTGAGAACCTAATCTAACCTGGAACATGCATAGTCAAAGCGATAATAACAGTCCGTCGAAATCTAAGTACCGGAAGACTATTGGTTAGTTTGTATATTCCCATGCTACGCGTGTGGGCCCCTTAAACGCCCGAATCTATTGTCTTTTGGTATGACACTTAAAGCCGAGTGGTTAAGAACTAACACGATATAGTTCGCAGGGACACTCACGTATAGTCGGATTATTACAGATTAATACATTGCAATGAAGAACGTAGAAAAACAGCACGTAAACTGTGTATGATGTCAAATGCTACCCGAAACCGTAAACCGAATAGTGGCACTAAAGTAGGTTGACACTGTTTGCTGCTATAAAGAATGATGTGGATGTGGCACCTTGACTTCTCATTGCCACACAAATTTATTTGATACAGTTTAGCCTGGAATGTCTAAAAATTCATCTCAATGGTATATGTGTAAAATATTCCGCCGTCCAATGCTGTCGTACTTTCTTTTCATTATCCGTTAAATTTGTTGTTCTAGTGGTTTTTATACATTGTGCTATCAATAGCTTTCGCATGGACCGACATCCTTAATAAACTTGAAAAGAAAAGGTCACTATATTATAAAAGAAACAAACCCGCAAAACCGAAAAGTGAAAATGCCGTCATTCACAATGCCGGCATTCAAAACATAATCCAAAATCGTGGTTTTCAAGAATTCACAGTCTTCAGCATTTTCCGGTGGCCTCCTCATCCCGATTATTCCGTCATATCCTTCTCTGTCGTCCCCAGCACCAGAACTCTCCACCATTTCAACGAACGTAAACTTCGGAATCAAACGACCTGCCATCTTTTCTAAATATTAAAGTATCGTGATTGCACTGACCCAAAAGTCGTCCATCATCACATTTCCTTTATAGCTCTCACCGCTGTAGCTAGTTTCATAAATTTGGTTCAAAGAGACACTAGTTTCGGGCTTTCCAGTGTATTTATTTTTGTTTGCAAATTCTGCCGATGTTGACTTGCTAGACGGAATCCACCGTGACCATCCTCCAGTGTCAAGCAGAACCATAATAGGCTGTCCACCCATATATACCTGGACGACTGGATTGCCCTAGACATATGAAAGCGTTAAATCATGTACAATCATGTTCCACCTACTGCGTTGTCGCTAAAGAAGTCCACGGGGAAAATCTGGCATTCAACATGCGTTGATCTTTTCATCAGATGCCGAGTAAATTTATCCACTCACCTTGGATTCAGTAGACAGAACAAAAGTAGTATTATTAATAATTTGCCTGACAATCGCGCAGACATTAAAACCTCGTTGTGATATTTACTGAATTGGGCTTGACGTTCAATGATTAGACAAACCACCGACATGTGGTTATATACTTCTCATTTTCTAAAACCACTGGTTCACACGGGATTGGTGGAGTTGCAGTATGCACTCAGCTATTCTAGAATTGCACGCACACGTTGGTGTTTCAGGTTACCTTGGTGAACAACCAATTATACGACCACTTCTAATAGAACCACTTAAATTAACGTAATTCACTTGTTTACCAAATCCTGCTTAAGCAATTGACTGGGCCGTAAGATGCTCACTTGCCCTGACCATTAATTGAGGGTTTACGTGTCGTTTTGGGAACGCGGTAACGTGTGCGTTGAAAATAACGCGAAAATAGCACAATGGTGTTTTTAGGCTTAGGCTTCCACATCACTCACCATACACCATCCGGATTTTTTTTATTTTGCAACCATATTACTGGTAGTCACAATAACCAAATTTCCATGGAGGCAAAATATCCTCAGCAGCTTCGAACAATTAGATCTCTTACAGACTTGGAACATTCCTATCGAATATGAAGCACAAAGCAGCCGAATCTGAAAATTTGAATGCTCTTCAGAGAAAGGTTATTACAACAGACTGGTACCGATGGCTGTGCAAACAACAAAATTTCAAGTATACAAACTTCCACATTTCATTTAGATATTTTAAAAATTTTAAAATATATCAAACTAAAACGATATATATGTGAAATTAGTAGTGAATATTCGCGATGTCTCATGGAATGACTGGTGATTTAAAGCAACTAAAATTATAAGGCATAAACTTGCCTTCAGCTCTACGCCAAAGGCGTAGAGCTTCCCTGCTCAGTTTCCCTGCTCTAACAAATCAAATGAACAGGGTGCCCCATAGGCACTTAATACCTGGCAGGTGAGACAAACCTCGGGTCTGAAATATGCAGATAATTAACTAACCGAGCATGTAAGAACAGGGCATTCGAATTCAAACTTTTTGGTTTTTTCAATCATTATGTTAGCCGCAAAGCAGCCACATTTATGCGGATGTATAAGAATCTGACCATAAGTTTTTGTCTCATATATCACACAGGTCCTGTAAAGTCAATGAGATAGTTCAGCACAAAGAGAAGCCGTTTTAATTCATCATGCCGCGAGATAACGTCATTAGACTCGCCCAAAACAGCAAACCATATTTAGGGATTAAACTGATCAATAATCTTTCGTTCCCTAGCCAGATTCTTTGGCCTTCGTGCGCCGGCCAAACTGGCTTGCGGTAAAGTATGCCAAACACGGTGTCAGATTCTGATATTCACTTCCCAACAGTTCCATGGGTGGGCTTACAGTGAGGAATAATTTGTCTCAATATTCATGAGGTTCACAGCACATCAGTTGTCTAGTCAGATTGAAGGCTACCCAAATGTCGATTAAACTTTCCAAGGTATACTTTATTAATTTGAAATATGTATGTAGCGTTTTTTTCACCACTCGAACATCCCTTTTACGCGTCATCTGCCATGGTGGAACCATCGTTTTCCCAAGCTTTGCATACAAGCCGCGCTTCTACAAGCGCTGTAAGAAACGGGGTAGGTGTATGTGGGCAGCAATTTCAGTTTGTCACTTTCAGCGTGAACTTTCACCAAATGTCGCATACATTTTTGAGATTTAACCTCTCCGTATGGATTATTACAATCATTACGGTTTGGGGAGAGTCTAAGGCTGTACTATAAACGTCGGATTTGTAAAGCTCGACTCAAATCTTGTCTGCCGCGGATGCGTCTTTCTTCATTACTTGTTTGTCGTATGCACTGCTATTAACAGTTGATCTCGCATGGGTCTGAACTGTCCTTAAATTTTTTTAATTTGTTCTGACCGTTCCCTCTTCTAGCCTTATCCTCTCCTAGGGATCTGGAAAATTCCTTGAATAGTGCGTAAATCAGTAACAATAATAATAATAAAATAAGTACTAATCGCTCTTTTTCACATCAAATCAAGATAGTATGTTAGAAACTGACGGAAAAGGGGTAACTTGCGAACACGCGAATGCAGGTAACCATGCATACGTCCCGCCTTCAGGAGAGGATACAAGACTGCTAAGCGGTCAAGTCACTGTATTAGTTTCCGTCTACGGAACATTTTTAATGCTCCACTTTTACTTGCCAGCATTTTATTACTTGGTCACCATTAGTGCGTATTTTACTGTGATTCTAGTCAGGTGCTTCAGTATGTTTTTGGCGGTTCGTTGTAAAAAACTCAGCTCCATGCCAACATCGGGTGCCCCATTGCTTTTGCCGAATATGACTGCAGGATAAAGGTAACGTGGGACTGTTTTTGAGCAGCTTGACAAAGTGCATCCCTTCTAAAATTATCATTTCATTAGGCTTCGACGGTAGCTGGTACAGATTAGTTATTTATATTTCCAGATAGGCAATCATAATTAACTGAATCACATCGGGTCCGAGGTAAATCAACCAAAATTAGAACTTTGATCCGTTTTATATATGAACAATCCAGTAGTTATTCTCACTTCTTAGAACACAGATAAAGCATTCAGGGTTGATGTATGCTTACCAGTAAAAACATCATGCAGAAAAAACAGAACTTCTCTGGCGTGATATCTTAAAATGTTCGTGCTGAAAGATCAACAAAATATCCGCTTTAACTTTATCTTCCATGTGGCAATAGGTTTATGGCCTAGCGGGCTCATGTCTACTTAGAATCTTCACAATCAAATTAAATAATCCTTAGGACAGTCTCAAAATTAAACCTAATAAAAAAGAGTAAAATTTTTGACTAGCGTTGAACAGAGACTGCAAAACCCCTAGCGTACGAAATCTTCTGACACACATGGATCAGCCTACTGACTAGTTTCTGAGAAACCGCTTTTGACTTTCAAAATTCATGTCACTAGGAATTTCGTTTTGTATCATCATAGAAGCCTGCAGTTTACGCAGGATCCGAGTGCTCTCCGCGAAGTTTTGGCATGTTTGTAAGCCACCGTCATGTTGTGCTGTCGTAAGAGCCTCGGGGTCTTTTCGTCTGCATTCTTGACGTGTGGCACTGTGACCCGCTTGCTTCCATTTTGTGCCGTGGTGTTAGTCGTATTTGGCTTTCCGAGTAATCTTCAGTTGAAATTCTATGGCGAGTTCGACTGGAGCGGCGTTTGCATACTGGTTCAAGTAGGCTCCAAGCGATAACGCACGTTTATGGAAGCATGACACTCCATCAAATAAGCTATCGAAAAGTATGTTGAAAGTGACTCTATCTGTCACAAACGCTGTGACAAACACTGCGGACGCACAGATGCCTGTAGATGCAGTAAAGAAAATAGAGCAGCCCAGGAAACCAATCAATCTCGTGAAAATCAGAATAAACGCTATGCAAATACAGATGGGAAGAAAACTACTAAAAATAGAAAGCATCTTCATGACTAATTGACTCGAAGGAACGCAAACCACAAAGCAACAAAATCATGAACGGACCAATGAATTCACAAAATCGCTGTCACCTATCTAGCCAATCAATCTATGAAATAACAGATAGCCTTTAAATGCTATATAGATGCACGCAGGGAAACAACCGGTACCCAAATTTTAACCATTATTTGGATAGTACTGCGATTATTATGGGGAGCAAGAGCCAGGTTAGAAAGTAATTCATCATTTTCATACTATCTGAAAACCTTTAAATTTATTTGTAATATCTAACAAGGCGATAAACTCTGAATTATTGTCCGCTTACTTCGAGTAGGTGTTTCGTGCCTACAGACTATTCAGTACGCCGAAAGCACTAGACTAGAGGATTCGACGGTAAGAAGTAGGCTACAGTTGAACATATAAATCGTATTGCTGGAAAACTTTCAGGTTACCAATCCAGTGCCAGAAACTGAAACGCCAGATTTATGTACCATGTTCACTATCGAACTATAGTACGCGAGTTAAATTGATTTCCAAAGATACGCCGTTGCCGCTGCTTTTTTTCAAACGTACCACATGAAAGCTTTCGTTCGAAACCAACGCATAGTGTAAACATCATCACGCTACACAAATTTGTTCATTTTTATAATGATAAAAAACGGATCTTCGACTAACAATGGAAAGTCTCTATAAATGTTGACCAAACAATTGCTCGCCGAACAAATTTGGAGGTAATTCCTCGAGATAAAGGAGTATATGATGTATATAAGTTGTACGTGTTATATACATATATATATTGTATATTTGGGATTGGATAGGACTAAGATAAGTTCGCTTCTCTTCTCAAATGGGTAAAATTGAATAGTGTGAGCTCCGTCCAGAGACTTCGATGCCACGAATTAGCTGGTTCATCTCGAAGCATCATCAGGTGTACATTATGGTCCTCCTGATATCAATTTCTGAAGGATGTTTGCGAGGTGTTTGTCGGTTTCTAACGGGCAAAATAGTTCATTAGTCATTTTTTAAACACAACATTTTGAAGCACTTAGCTCGTTGTATGAGAACTCGACTGGTAAAAATGCAGATTAGAAGATTCTCATAACGGATTGGTATTTGGGTTTATGCATTA